AGTTTATAAAATTTGTCAACATCTCAGTATGGACCCAACTCCTTCACTTTGCCTGTTTGGCACGTCTTTCGTGACGCTGGTATTCTATACGCGGACATTTTCTAACAGCGCGGAAGCTGTCGTATTTGCAGCCTTGCTGCTGCTGGTTATTTCTTCTGTTTCAAACAGGAACATTTTCCGATCAGGAAGGGACTGGCTGCGGACATTGTTGATGGGGTTGCTTCTGACTGTAGGATTTTGGATCCGTCCAACATTTTTGGCCTTTGCTTTTACACCCTTACTTTGGTGGGTGATTGATATTTTCACCTTTAACTGGTCAATTGAAGCAAAGACCTTTACTGTGGTAAAAGATGTTTTAAAACAGTGCACTTTAGTTGGTCTTGGTAGTTTTCTGATGCTGACTATATTGACCTTAGTTGATTCTTTCTACTTTGGGTACTTACAGAAAAAAGAAATTGTTCTTACTGCACTCAACTTTATCTTATACAACCTAGACACGGGTAGGGTAAAGGATCATGGTCTTCATCCAAGGATAACGCACTTTGCTGTAAACCTGCCATTGTTGTTTGGACCTATGGCATTTGCTTTCTACATGATGATTGCCCATACTGTGCTTAAAAGGAAGTTTGCAGACTACCTTAAAGTTTTATTAAGCAGAAGAAACACTACCAAGCGTAACAGCTTAGTTGATGACTATAAAACACTTTTTATTTGGAGCTTGCTGCCATGCAGTATTGTCGTATCTATAGCGCTATTGTCATGGATACCTCACCAAGAACCACGGTTTATCACTCCAGTTCTCCTTCCATTGGTCATACTCTTTTCGTGGTGTTTGACAGCGTCTTCCTTTGCACCCCTGATAATGCTTTCTTGGATTATCTGGAATACTATTGGCTGTATTATGTTTGGAATACTGCATCAAGGGGGTGTTTATCCATGCCTGGCACATCTTCAACATTATCTTCATAATGCCAGGAGTTGGCAAAACTCTTCTGCAGCATATCAAGTGACTTTTTATCACACTTACATGCCTCCTCAGCATCTTTTAGCCTGGCCAATGTCTCGTGAACATGAAGGGGACTCACTTCACAGCCTAGCGGTTCTTGATTTAAAAGGAAGCTCAAAGGATACTCTGGTGAAACATTTGGAAAAGCTTATCCATGAGGAGGCTAAAATGCATGGAAAAAAATTTGAGGTAAGATAGTCTCTCATAGGAGACTAAAAGTAATGATTGGGGGTGAATACAGAAGTGATTGTGACTGTGATTTTTCAATCAAATGTTTTCTTTTTATGTATTGGTTTCAGTTTAGAGAGGGACTTAAACCTGGGTATCACCATTGTGGATCCGTTGCACTCAAAGGTTGGCACATATTATGCAACAAGTTGCATAAACACATCCCAGCAACAAATCACTTTTTGTGCTGTAGAATTTTTGCAAGAATTTTGTAGCCCTGACAAGTCGCATAAAATCAAATCAGTTTCAATTTGTGAATCTTGTTGCAACATGTTACCATTATGATGCATTAGTGCGACGTGTCACCCAGTGTGTGCTGACCATAACAGTCATCCCCACTACATCTCCAGCATCACTGGGCAATTCCAGAAAATAACCATACTATACCACGGACCGCTTTTCAAATTCCAAGGGCAATGGGGGGCTCTTTGAACTGGAAATCGAAAGGCATGGGGGGATACATTGTACTTATGATTGGAATTCCAAAGTCATGGGGGGTTTTAGGTCTGGAATTTCCACAGGAGACAGACAAGAGTGTATTCCTTGAATATGCTTAATATGTTATTTACTTAATCAGTTCACAAAAAAGCATGAACTGGCAACACAAGATACATTAGCAACGTCCGTCAATCAGGCATGTTTTGAATTCATGTTTATTTGTAGAAGAAATCGGAGAAACTGACAAAATGTGGGTTGAACGTCATGCTCCAGAGGCCTTCATGCCACACAACATCATTTTAGGGACTTAAAGCAGCCACTGGAGGCAGTTTAGAAGAGGCCAGAAGTGGCCACGAAAGAATGGGTTGAGGCTGCCACCATTTGTCACAAATTTAGAAAGTTAAGCTGCATAGCAGATGCAGGTGCCAAATTGTTTTGGTTTGTTTTTGTTTTTGTAGCTCAGTTTGACTTTATAGATGTTTGTCTCAGTTTTAACAAAACTTAATGGCAACCTTTCAAGAAATCAGGGACCTCTTAGCTGTGGCAGCTTCAAAGGTATCATAGATGAGGTCAAGATTGAATTTCTTTTACTCTACGATTTGAAGACCTCCAAAAATCTTGATTAATGATTTCGAACCTTACAATGATTACAGACGATGTATGTCCGAGTCGATTTTTTCGAGATGGATGCTCTAAAGAGTCACAAATAACATTATCACAATATATTTCTACACAAAAGAGTCATTTACCTTAAGTCGGTTTCGATTCAAGGAAAACGTGAAATTTCACTCACCCACTTTGTTTACTTGTCTCTTGATCTCCCGCTTCAGTTGCCACTACGTTTTAACTTATACAGCTGTTTACAATTGTAGAATAAAAATTAGTCAAATATTTGCCATTGAAATGCAAAAGCGATGGCTAATAAACACTTGTTTGGCTAAATGAGGAAAATTCTTCGCATTTAAAATAGCAAAACTTGAAGGATAAGCTGCCATCTGTCAAGGCAATCAAACCATCCTTTTTTGCCCGATGCTAACTGAGGTCGATGCAGGCTGAACATCAAGCAAATATGCTAATTAGCTCAAAGATGTGAAATTTTCCTTCTGGTTGGCCTCCTCTGTGCCGCCTCAAGTTGTTGCTTAAGGTCTCTTTATCTCTCATCAAAGCGGCTTCATAAATTATTTCGTGCATTCAGTGTGAAACATGGTCTTTTCACCAAGGATGCCATTTTATCTTTTGAAGCTTGAGTGACTGGGAGCAGGTGCTGACCCCAAGGCTCATATTCATGATAGCTAAATGAAAAAGCTCTTGATCGTGTTTTGATCGTACTATCTTCCAAGTGTACACACGTTCATGGCAAGATATTCTTATTTTTATCTTTTGTACCAGTTTGGGGTAATGTAAAGTTTATATACCTGTTGAACAGCTTTAACAAAGAAACTTTATTATTATTATTATTGTTATTTGATTCCAGAATTTCTGGAGTTATAATGACCTGCAAAAAGACTCCGCTGTAATCAACTCCACTGAACAGAAGTAGAGTCATTTGAAATAATTTGGCATCAAATCAGAGCCAAACTGGGCATATTTGTGAACCCTGTTGGTTATTCAGAAGGATTTGAAGAAAAATGGGAAATTCGAATGGAAGGAAGTTGACAATTTTGGAATTCCAAGGGCATGAAGGGAAACGCATTTTGAAATTTGAAGACCACGGGGTAGAGATAAAATATGGAAGCCGTCCATGATATGGCGTAGATATTTCCTGGAATTCCCCATTCCCAGTGTCTCACTTTTTTCCATAGACTGTGTTGGAATAAAAATGCTGTATCTCTACACATCATCAGCATAACTAAATGTAATAGCTACATGTATAACAAACAGTTGTCAGCAAGGTGCGAACAAGGATTCAATTATTCCTTGCACTTTTTTAACTGTTTTGTTTTGTTTGTTTGTTTGTCTTTTCTTACCATCAACTCTGTGTCGTCTGCCCTTTAATGCAGTTTAACTATCCAACAGGGTCAGGAGGGGTATTTTTGGGATCTGGGATTTGGCCAAAATACAGTGTGGGAAATTTCTTGACAGGTTATGGGAATTGATAAAAAATGTCAGCAAGTCCACAGCAACAAACCAATGAGTGGTGCCGGATCTCCCAGTTGTAGACCTGGATCAGTACAATTAAACTTGTAGAAAAATATGACATGGCAAATTGATCCTTACTGCAAGGCAATGAAGAAGTAAACAAAAGAATAAAACCAAAAAAATGTATATTTCAAAAAGGGAATTGGGAATTGAGAATTAAACAATGGGAATTGACCAGTATTTGGCAGGTGGGATTCTCCAAAATTCGCTGTCAATGCGAAATCTTAGCATGGGATGCGGTATTGGGGAAGAAAATGGAATGGGGTAGATATGACAGACCTTTGTTGTGAAAAAAGGAGAATGAGAATCAGGAGGACAACCCTGCCCCCCCCTTTCCAGACACTCCCCAAAATATGCACCTCATCATCATCATCATCATCATCATCATCACTTTTGTTTATACACGGTAAAAACAATCAGGCTAAATATACAATATACAATATCCTAAAAATGTTTACAAACTATAGAATTAAAGGTAATAGCATTTACAAAGATGAATGTTGAAATAAATAAATACATGTAAATAAGATTAATTTATAAAATTAAAGCCTGTTGTCTATGAATGCCGTGTTCGAGCTAGAAGTTAACAGTTTCCGAAAGCCTGTGAAAGATTTTGCTTGTCTTTCATCAGTGGGCAAATTGTTCCACAGAACAGCCCCGCTGTAACAGAAACTATTTCTATAGTAATTGGTTCGTGGCAAGGGAACAGCAAGCTTGTTTTCAGAATCTCTAAGGTTGTAAGAATTATAACGTCTTTTTTAAATCTGATGCATCCAAACCGCATCCCTACACATTATCAACAGGTCATCTTTTTTCTCGCATTTTCTTGACTGACTTTTTTTTATGTCTTTACCAACAGATCTTTGTTATCTGCCCTTCAACAGTCAAGTTTAACCATCCAAACTTTAAATTGTTAAAACAGTTTTACCCCCACTTGAGCATGGAGGACCCCCCTGACTTGATGCCTCTTTTCAAATCAGACCCTGAAGAAACTTGGACTTGTATGAGAGGTAATCAGGGGGGAGATTACTTGGATCCAACATTAAATACTGAGCACTGTGCAAGGAGAGTCAAAGAGACCTTGAAAAATGAATGGAGAGTTCCTGGTTGGAGGGATTTTACTAACTGGATTTATTCAGAGCTTTCTCTTAATTTGTATCAGTATGTACAGAACAACAGTTACTCATAAGTTAACTTGTAGTCGTTTTGAGATACACAAAATTAAACATTTACACAACGTACCTAATTTACCTAATGTAAGTGCAGACACGAATAAAGTCGCAGAAAAGTTACTTTTCTTTAAATCATACTCTGCAGCGTGTTAAAGTGCATGCGACATAATTCCTTGTTGAGAAAGTAAAGAACGCAAAAAAAAAGTAAATAAAAAAGTTGAGAAGAAAGTATTCACATAAAGTGAGGAAAAGGAAAAAAAACTGAACCGAAAGTTAACTTTTGTGACTTGGAAGAACAAGTGACAAATGCTACACGCGCCGTTATTAGTTGTTAACTGTATGAAACAATTGGATTCCATTTTGGCCTCCTGGCGCTGTCTTTTCATTTTTAGTAGAAATCAACTAGCATTGTATCACGAATTCTGCAATTTGATTGGGTAACGCTCGTACGCACGTGATAAATTGTAGCGAGCCGGCGTTTTGAACAAAAACCAAGCAATGGCAACCTCTTGAAAGTATCCTTTCTGTTTTTGAGGAATAAAATAGAATTAATGATGCTTCAACCCCAAATAACATTTCTTTGTACATTTCTTTGCCGCCTTAGCAGTTTCAGTTTTTTTCAACGACTTAAAAAACTGTAGAAAAGATTTAGAAAAGATACATAGCGTGATTCATTTGTTACTAAGGTAAGTGTTGTGATTGACAATTTAGCACTACAATTAAGAAATCCATTAAACAGGCGCATATATAGAAATGAAACTCTTAAGTAAGAAGTCAAAGAATTCTGATCTCCAGATAGCTGTGCAGTTCATCCGTAAAGCAGAAAGAAACGGAGTAGTGCCAGCTGTAAGTGCCAAGCATAATATATAGATTTAGCCAAGCCTAAAAGCGAAGATTCCGTTTCTGTATAATTCTAATTTCTTTGTTACAACAATGAACTTAAAACCAAAGAGCTTTAACACATTGCAAAGTAGTACAGAAATTTGTACTTAACTTTAGTAGGGGAAAAGCTGGATGATGTACATTCACAGAAAAAAAAAATAGATAAATAAATAAGATAGGGGAACCGCCTTCAATTGTTCTTTGTGGGATAGAAGTCCTAAAGGCTTTCTATAATTCTCGCTTTGTTTCCTTTCAACAATAAATGTATACACGATTTATGTATGGAGTTGAGCAGAAATATTGCCACTTTTACACTTCCACATTAAGTTCTTCAAATGTTCTTGCAAAAAGTTTAAACCAATTATCGATAGATCGACTCCTTGAAGTTGTCTCTTCATTCAAAACACGGTATTTCGGACACCATTTGAGGGCAACCAACCAGTGCAACCATCATCTTAGGGACTGTTTACATGGAGGTGGGGACCCCAGGTCAGGTGAGGTAACCCGCTTAGGTGGGGTAACTTGCCTGTTCATATAATTTTCCTTTTAACTTGATCACGTTTACATGATAGATGGGGTTACCGGCCTCGGGTTACCTCACCTACCTGGTGTCCGCCACCTCTATGTAAACAGGTCGGTAGCGAAAACCCGCGCCGCAAGGTGAACCAGTGGCAGCAATTTATCCTTCACTGACGGGTCAAATAGTTTACTTCTGTTACCCCCTCCCCAAAAAACCACCAAATATATACTGCACAACGTCACTGCCAAATATGGGGTATCACTTTTACCAAAATATGGGCGAAAGAGTTGGGGCCATAAAGAAGATGAAAAATCTTCGTAACGTTGCGAGGCTCTATGAATCTCACACCAATTCAGCCTTGCCTCTTGGTACGGCCGCCTCGCGGCAATCAAATTCGATTACAGAAAAAGGCTTGGAAAAGAATTGTTGCCGGCCCTACATCACGTACCGATTTACTATCGGCAAATTGAAAGATGCAGGGTACATCATTAAAAACGCTAATATATGACTCAGCATTAATAACGCTTCGTTTTATTAAAGTAACGCCTGTTAGGCAGGATAGAATACTTGGTGTTGAAAGTTACGGCTATTGGTTTCTGTTCGTTTTAACTTTGTAATGACCAATAATAAGAAAACAGGTGCGCCCCCTACCTTAAGATTCTGTACGGACAGGCGGATGGTCCCGCGCGCTCTCGAGTTTTCCTAGCAAAGGAGGCTCCGCTATAAGACAGCCTTTTTTTCTTGTGCTCGATACCCACCATTTTCTCGATACCCACCATTTTCTGTCTCAGCAGAAGCCTCACAGTTTCCGCTGGTGTTTTCTCGCTTTTCGCAAAATGAGATTCTACATTGCTGCTTTCACGTTACTGGTTTTTTGCCGTGGGTACCCGGCCATGAAACAAAATCCTCGGGGGTTGTCATGGAATCTACCCTACGTCCTAAGAATCCTGTCAAACGCCGTCAGCTTCTCTTGGCATGTGGAGTTCACAAGAGGGCAATAAATTATCGTGACGACGGCAAAATGGCGTGCCCGTTTCTTATGACTTGCTGTATCATGACTAATGGGAATCCGATATGCAATACCGACTACGGATGCTGTCTAATTCCCAGCTCAGTTTGTTGCAGTGACGGGATCCATTGCTGCCCGGCTGGTTACCGCTGTGGTACAACCAAGTGCTACAGAAGTCATAAACCATTTTTCCGAAACCATGGGTTTCCATAGGATACTAGTAACTGATCTAGGTCAAAACCCATGGGGTTTACATTTTTGTTTCATAATTTTTTAAATCAGAGATTTTTTAATTCTTCTCGAACGTACAGAAAAAGCGGGTTTATGTAAACTTTGTGATTATTTAGCCATCATGTGCACCATTAGGGACTGGAGAATTATAATGGCCATGGAAATATAACAAATGTGTTTTTAGTGAGAGGAAACTATAGAGTGGAACGTAGAAAGTATTTGCTTCGCCATATATTTCAGCCAAATCCGCCTTTACGTTTGATTGATTTTGTCGTACTGTGTTAACAGGAAGACAAAACAAGGCTCCGCTGGAATGGTGCCTTTTAAAGGAAGAAAATTAGGAGATATAAAAGCAAAAAAGTAGGACATTGCTGTCGGTTTGGAGACTTGAACAACAACAAACTTGAGGAAACCCCAATACTTTGAGGCCCATGAATCATTCAACTCTCGGTCTCCTTTCTTTTTCGCACTGCAAATGTAATCTTTTTGTTTGTTTGCTAGTTAGAACGATTTTCGTATGACCCGGAAAAATGGTTTCGGTAACCTTCGTTTTCCCTCTAAGGAAAAACCCTGATATGGAGAAGGCATTGTTCGGTTGGCCCATAGTGTCGCATAACGAAAAAAGCGAGGTATAGATTGATTTCTAGAAAGTTCTCGGGCATGAAGATTTTTCACCCGAGCATTCGCTTAACCAATTAAAAGCCCCGCGCATTTTTATCCGTGCGATAAACTAAGGGCCTGTTTACATGGGGGTGGGGGACCCCATGTAGGTGAAATAACCTGCTTAGGTGGGTAACCCTCCTGTCCTTATAGTCTCTCATTTTAATTTTATTACGTTTACATAACAGGTGGGGTGACCATATGAGAGATTATATGGAGAGGAGGGTTGCCCCACCGAAGCGGGTTATCTCACCTACCTGGGGTCTTTCATCTGCATGTAAACAGGCTCTATTTCCGTTCGTTTGTTTTTTCTGTTTTGTTCGCGCATTTTCATTCAAAGTCATTCTAGAATCGCTGAAACCTGTTTTCTTGTAGACCGAGAAAACAGCCGCCGCGACATTTCTCGACTCCACCACTACGAGAAGACCAGTAATGGATAACGGACGTTTCCTTTCCCCTAAAGCGTTTGCTCTCATCTGCTACTTTGAGCAGCTGTTTCCCGCCAAAAGTATCTTAGCAGGAGACGCTGCAAAATATATGACGTCAGAGGGTATTAGTGTGCGAATTCTGATCGCTCACAAAGATTTTGCGTAAATTCGTGCTGTGTAACATTTCTCTGCAGACTGCCAGTGACGTATTCCTCAGAGAACTGCTGAATTCTGTTTTCACGAAAACCTCTTTTTTGCTCCTTATCTTTTGGCTTCGCCTTTAAATTTTTTCCCTTGATTTATCCTCAAACTTTCACAGACAAAGTGATGAAGTTGTCATGAATTCGAGCTTTAATCATGTTGAATTTTAGGAAGAAATTGTGATTCCTTAAGCTAAGCAAAAAGAACGGTATATCAGCGCCAGCTGTAAGTGTTAAGCTTATTTAACAGGGGCACCCAATGGATCTGTTCCTCAAAATATCTGTTCTTCAAGCACATTTTTGCTGGCTGGGAGATGTGAAAGAAATAATAGTCCTTGGAAGGAAAGTGTTGCTGGGAAAAAGATAATTCAGGGTGTCAGAGGGGATTTGAAGTCTAGAATAGCTGCTACGGGTTATTTGTATGAGTTACTTACCACTCAAGATCTGAATTGTGCCCTATGAAACTTCCCAGTAAGTCAGGTTGCAGGTTGTAAGGTTGCTGGCTGGGAACTCTTCCATCAGTCTTGCTGGGAGTGAGGAACAGATAATTTTTTTCCAGCAATCTCCCAAAATGCTTAAAATAGTCTCAGAAAACTTTATTCACGCTTTGTTGTTGTTTTTAGGTCTTTTTCTCACAATTTCCCGTTGGGTGCCCCTGATTTAATAACTAACTAAAAGGTACTGTTAGTCGTGCTTCAGGCCTCCTCAAGCTTTTGGCCTCTAGCAACTAGATAGTCCTGCATGACACAACGCTGTTTGAGAAATATGCTTGAGAAACGACACAGTTTTTCTTTCACAGTATTTTTTAAGCATTTGAGGAGTATGACACACACTTAAAATTAAAGTGTAATGTTACAAAGGAAAATTTGTAATATTACACTTTTTAACGAGTAAAGCGTTACACAGAATTTTCAGTGTTGTGTTACGCTTTATGTCGGGTAATTTTACGCAAACTTTAGTGTAAAAGAGCTGGTACTCTTAACATGATAATATTACACAGTTAAAGGTATACTTTTATAATTTTTTCTATTGTAACATTACACGTAGGGTACGGTGTACATTTTACCCGTTTTTACAGCGTAAATGT